AATAATTAGGATTCCGCGAAAAAAATTAAAACCCAAATAACACGTGGGCGAAGTCGCGGGGAACAGCTAGTCGGAGAATATAATTCAAAAAGCAATACTAAGTGTATTGCTGTTTCAAAAATGACATTTGTTATGAATTACATGTCGGTTTCAATCGAGTTTATATGTTCGTATATTACTCGATGCAGCTTTATGTCTTTGGAAACGTGATAAGAAAGCAAATGATGAAAAAATATTTTTCTTTTTCTTTAATTAAACTTTTAATTGATTTGAACAATAAAATGTATTTTTATGTTGTAGTTATCGAGATAAAATGATGTTTCGTCTCTGAACGAGGCATTCTCAGGTACACTCTGCGGTGGCTGACGGTTAAGTCACTTATCGTATAATCGAAATAATCGTTAAACAGCATCGAGCATTTAACCTGAAATAAATGCTCGATGTTAAAGAGAAATAATATGAAACTAACTCATTACTGATGCGTTTTAATTTTCTGCTCACCAGATGTCGCTAGTTGATACTGAGGTGAAGTTTTTGTTACAAAATGTCATTTAATTGAGAAGTTAGTTTTATACACAAAAAAATGCATAAGTTTTTGCACATTTTTAACTTTTTTATATTTTCTACTTTTATAAATATCTGTAGTTTGGTTTATTTATTTTTAATCTTATTAATATAAATTATAGTTAATAGTATAGAAAGAAACATCAACATGTACATTTTCCGAACAAATTAACTTCCCCGTTAAGAAATCTGTCAAATATTATACCTCACTTTTAAGTGGCGCCGCCCTGGTGGCAGAAAAAGTCGAGCCCTCATTAGCGTGTTATGTCTTTCGTGCTACTCAAATTTGCAACACTTCACATTTCGTTAATTATGTAATGTAAATATCGTAATACAACGAATAACAGAAAACAATCATTTTATGTCGGTACGTATTATTCGTATATCGGTATCATTGCATCATCAAATATCAACAATTGTACTATTTAGTATTTAAGGGTTAAAGTATGAAATTTCTTTTTTAAAGAAAAAACGTATTTATATAATCCAAATGTTTACCAAATATGTATAGATAATGACATTAATACTCGAGAACAGATTTAAACCTTTGCGATAAAACTTTGGGGATCTAGACTCTATAAAATCTATGAAGACATTTAGTGTCGCTTCCTGAGAACAAAAATATTTTACTTTTAGGAAATTTTCAAAATTGCGGAAAAAATGCCAATCAGTTTGTGCTAGGCCTGGTGAGCAAGGAGGATGTAATGTTAAATCAGTTTGTCGAGCATTGTAAGGTATTGCGTAACCATGGAGGAATAATGGCGAAGATCACTCGAACAGTGGTAGAGTCACGCGGCAGCTTTTGCTGTCGCACGGATGGGCCGGCTCGAACCGGGGTGGTGCCACGACCTCACAGAATACCAGCGTGAAGTAGAGGTTTACCTCCCCGTTTCGTCAACTGATCTTTTTTTTATATAGGATAAGGGTGACAAACGAGCACACAGTCCACCTGGTAAGTGGTTGCTGCGGCCCATAGACATTTACATCTATCATCTATTACAAATCAAAATGCAGATGCGTTGTCACCCGTGAGGACTAACATGGGAATGCTTCATTTTCAGTAAAAAGGGCCTCCGGCCACCTGCACTCACCATACGAAACACAACAGCATTAAGCTGCCATTTTACGCTGGCATTCTGTGAGAACGTGGTCCTTCCCCGGTCGAGCTGACTCATTCGTGTTACAACTATACCAGAAATATAGCTGCAGCATGGCTCTACCACGTATAAAAATTTCTCTAAGAGCTTCGCCATCATTGTTCGATGTTCTTCAAAAAAGACGTCTGCTATTGTTGATATGCTGAATCTCAATTTAAGCATTAATTTTCTATAGCTGAGCTACGCTTTCAGGCTTTGCTCTGGTAATTTGACCTGGAGGCAGTCATTGCGTTTTCGCTCGCGATTATCGTAGGAAATCCATTTTTCACAGCACTTTAAAATTCTGTTCAAAGTACCTGTGTCTGCACCATTTCTGTATCTAGTCATGAAAGCAAGGCAAGCTTAAACATGTGCTCTTCTATACACATTTGTTGATTCACGAAGCCCCCGCCCCCGTTTCTTTTACCAATTTGATGCCAATGAGTTATTTGGAGTGGCAGCCTCGTACCGGTAGGCGAAGTGTAGGGCGTCCCCCCACGAGATGGAGTGACGACCTGGTAAGACATGCAGGAAGTCGATGGATGCAGGTGGCTCAGGACCGTGCTTTGTGGCATTCTTTGGGGGAGGCCTATGTTCAGCAGTGGACTTGTGAAGGGCTGTAATGATGATGATGATGATGATGAGTTATTTGGATAGTTGATAGGATTAGTAAGATGAAGTGGCAATGGGCCGGCCATATAGCTCGAAGAACCAACAACCGATGGGGAAGAAAGGTTCTCGAGGGGCAGACGAAGTGTAGGGTGTTCTCCCACTAGATGGTGACGAACTTTTGACGACGATTTGTGGTATTCCTTGGGGGAGGCCTATGTTCAGCAGTGGACTTGTTAAGGGCTGTAAAGATGATGATGATGATGATGAGTTAATATTGTGAGTAAACTGACGAAGAATCATGACGCTAGTTCTTTGGTTTTTTAATAAGGATCGATTTCATCGGGAGCCATTACTTGTTATTTAATTTAGTGTCTGGTCTTAATCGTGGTTCATTATTCAAATCGAAGTTTTCACTAAGAAAGTGATTGAACCGATAACGCACAGTGATATTGCGAGCTGTCTCTCTGCTGACAACGTCGGAACTCGTAAAAAAAAAAGAATGGTATATTTTTTTTGAATTTAGAACGATAAAGAAATTTAAATCACTAATCTTGGACCATTCAGGTTTAATTTTAAATCATACTGACCATTCTATTAAAACTGTAACTTTATACCTTACGTGTGTTTAAAAAAAAGACGTCAACAGTCTTATCGCAGGAACTTCAGGCCTACATAAAATGAAAGTATTAGTGCCGTTATTATTGCGTTATAACTTTAATGTTCATTGTCAAAACCAAACACTTCCAGTACTATACATAGAAGTCTTAGATCAAAACAAAAAAAAGTTTAAGTAAAAAAAAACGTCAATTTTACTTTTAGTTTCAGAGTCTGCAGAGTCAGATCGTTCCATATAAAATTAGTACTGTTAACTAATACAGCATAAGAACATCAATATTTTTTTTCTGGTTTAAGTAAAGAAAAGCTAAAAGCTTTTTGGTGGACCACGAATAGTACTTGATGAAAGATAAAAATTTTGTGCAAAAAATGAATAATTTATAATCATCGGCTTGGATGTCTTTTGAAAAACTTCTTAGAAAATCTTAAGTCAGTAAACTAACAAGACCTACTGCAACCCTGCTAATGTAACATGAGTACAAAACTCCACTACTTCCATAGCCATTTGACTCTTGCTACAAGAAACAAGGAGAGCAATTCCATCAGATTTTTTTTTATAGAATTAGGGTGACAAACGAGTACACAGCCGATGACAAAAGGATGCAGTGGCCCAAAGGCATTTACATCTATCCTAGATTCAGTACTCGTATCAAAATGCAGACGCGTCATCACCCCTGAGGACTAAGAGGGAATGCCGCATTTCCAGTAACAAGGGTTTCCGGTTCTCACTCACCATACGAAACACAGCAGCATTTAGCTGCTATTTCACGCTGGTATTTTGTGAGGGCGTGGTACTTCCCTGGTCAAGCCGACCCATTTGTACTACCACCCACAATAATATAGCTTCAGCATGGTTCTACCATATAATACAAAAATCTTATTGAAGATTGAAGGTTGAAGTGAACACAAGATGGCTAATTACTGCGAGAATGTCAAGCTTTTTCTATAAGTAAGCTAATATATATATACTTATTTTCAAATAATATTCCTTTATATTTTAAACACTTTTTCATTTGTTCAAACGCATTAAAAAACATAAGGACCACTGGTCTGAGGGCTTGTTTTCACGTGTTGATTGAAAGCTGTCACGGCCTCTTCTGGCTCCGTAAATGTGAGTTTGAGCGGTGTGTGGATAGTATACGATGCGATTTCTTTTTACCTAATTTTGCTTCATGTCTGCTTCAATTTTGTTGGCTTGCTATCGCCGTCGAATACGCATAGACTGAGAGGACTGTTGTTTTCTTTCGAAATGTAATCATAGGTATATCCATGTTTTTTTCTCCTTCACAATGTCATACACAGCATAAGAAGGTCGGTGATCATACTTTAACAACATTTTTTAAATACCAATCAGTTCGAGAGTGCTGTTCTGGAGTGAGATCATGAGGAATCAAGCGGCAACAAAGTTTTCTTAGTTTTAAATGTTGAGGTAAATTTTTTTGATACCAATACCCAAAAGGCCCCGAATCTCCTCGTAGCTTATGCGCCGGTTTTCTTTAATTAGTTGAATGATAAAAGTCATATTTTCCTCAGTGATCACAGTTGAGGGTCGACATTCACGAATTTCATTATGGAGAGAAGCACGGCCACGATCAAATTTTGCGTCCCAACGCCATACGGTGATTAAATGAGGTGCTTCCCTCCTAAAAGAATTTTCATGACGAGCATAGTAATGTTGCAGAGAGAGTGAATTTTTGAAATCATTAAAAATCATCATCATAAAAAATCTTTTCGCGTTTTATTCTATTTCTGATATGTATAATGTATTTCAACTTGTGATCTATATAATATGAGTCTCTTATGTGTAAAAAATATAACATTTAAAATTCAAACATTTAGGAGCGTTCAGGAACGCAGAAATTTCGTTGTACCCTATGTATACACAGAACATACTGTATCATAAAACTTCATGTAATTTATTTAATAATATAAATACAGAGGATGTATGTTAAAATGAATGATAATTACCTAGTTAGCAAAACACAAATTTTTTATTTTGGCTGCACCAAAACCACTATGTGCGTGTAAGTATATAATATTATAAACTATACTGAATATATAGGTAAGACAAACCTGAAGTCTTTAATCCGATTGTGTAGAAATTTTCGTATGTTCCAAGGTAAGTCGTTGTGTCCATCAATGAGTGGAGTGTCGTGTAGGAGCCTCTCGGCAAGACGAAGTCGCTCTTGCAAAGGTGCTCCAGGAGGTGCGCGCAATGCTAGAGGCCCTGCGACGCACGCTGTACCCGCTACCATAACCAAAATAGCCACACAACACCAACGACGATGCCATACCGAAAAACCTGGACAACAAACAAGTCTAGATAATTATCATTGTGGTAATATTTATATCATTCCGTGTTTTTGTCATTAATATTTTACATACATATAAATTATTGTATTATGGTTATTATTTAATGTTTAAGATTTGTCTGAATCTTTATATTTCTACTTTAGGGATCATTTAAAATGCTATTAACCCATGTACTTACAGATGAAACGTCTAGTATGGTAATATTTTAACCGTGGTAAGAAATGGTTCGTTAAGTTACGCGATGTCTTCCTATAAAGTAAAGACATCGCGTAAAAACTCTGCAATATTCAAAGGTTTAAATGTGTAATTTAATTTTGTTGAGTTATAGCAACTTGGCTACTAAATGTTAATAATTGCTCGATTGTTTGATAAGTTGATATATTCTCGCGTTATGGATCTGCATTCATTGAAGGTAAATAATGGATATGCTTGTTTCAGAGCAGATTCTCCACATTCTCCAATTACTCAGTCCGGTGAGGGCTTTGACAGGAATGTTAAAATTGTCTCTACAAAGTCTTAGGAACTCTCTCCAGTCCTTGCATATAAAAGCAAATACTTTACACAGGTTATTGAATTTTTGACATGGACTAGGTGTCATGTAACATCCTTTGGTATACAAGAGTGGGCCCACCCACTTTGAAATTCCACGAAAGCTTTGGCTTTAATTTCTACTATATAATGCTTTTTGTGTCAATTAACTAGTGCCACCGACCTTTTTTTACTTGTAGTAATACTGAACTAGTATAACGACTTCTTAAATTATCAGAATAATATATTTGATAAGGAACTAAAAAGGAACCAGGTGATCTCCATTATATCCGCGTATAATTGAAATTTACTATGTGTATTCTTCAAATTAATAAATTAAATACGAAAATAAGACCACGTTTTTAAGAATAATTAATTAAAACCTTACTCATTACAAGATATTTCATTGTTCGTTTCATTTAAACTTACTAGGGAAACACGAAAACAATGCAAAATCTTGGATTTTTTCTTCAAGCAAGATGTTTTCTCTGCAATCTTTGGAACTAATTAATTCATACTCTTTTCTCCGCGATGGAGATTTGAAGTTAAGTGAAGACATAATAAAATTAATTAAAAAAGTACACGCTATTCAAACTTTTATAAAGGAATTAAAATAAGTACAAAATAAAAATGTTGTGATTCGCATATCATTCATTTTTAAATTAGTTTTTTATGGAATATAATTTTACGACTGCTATACGATTTATTACTTATTTAAATAAGCCTAAATAATAATAGATTTGTGTATATTATTTCTTTAATTAAGCCAATTAGAGTGACTTCACGGACATAGGCCATTTTAACAACGTTACATTTGTGTAATAAGTACTAATTTTTAATAATAATTTGAAGAGGTATAAAACTCATTTAACATGAATAGTGAAAGTGTTCATATCTTATCTTTTTCTTGATTCTGATTGCTTATAAGCTAACGGAAAATCAAACAACGAATAACAGAAAAATATTGCTAGGCCCCTAAAATCCCCTGGTATTTTTGTATCTAATATTGACGAAAACTCCAGGTTGACAGGAGATTTGCAGCTTACCTACAATTTCAGGATTGTTTCGGAAATTGGATTACATTTAGGTACATAACCAGCTGCATATGACGTAACATTGTTATCGTTATATTGTATGACGATTCCAATTTAACCTCAGAGTAATAACATACATAAACCATATAACATAATATATTTGCAAGGCCATCTTCTAAACATAGATGATTTATAATTTTGCATTAGAAAATTACAAATCGCATACGTTAAAAATTATGTGTGGTTGAATTTGTTTAAAATACTTAATTCTAGATTAGATTAATTCTAGTGAAGTGAGGTATATTAATATATCATATTAATACATCCCACTGCTGGTAGACATGGTTCCACTGAATTCTGAAAGAGTTTTTGACTAAGAATGAATCCGCTTTCTGAGCAGAAGCATCCTTTTAATTCCGCGAAGGCTATCCCTTGAGCTGCAACGTTTCTTAACATAAAAAATAAATAATCTTGAATTTTAGTCTGTAATCCTTAGTCTGCAAAAATTAAACTTTATAAGATTAGAATATTATAGCGCTATGGCCGTAGGTTCGATTCCAGAAAGAAAGAAAAAGAATCTTCAAGAAAAGAGCTTACACCTTTCTAAAAGGCCGGCAACGCATCTGCAATTCCCCTGGTGTTGCGGTTGTTCATGGGTGGCGGTAGTCACTTACCATCAGGTGAGCCGCATGCTCGTTTGCCCCCTCTTCTATAAAAAAAAAAGAAAGAAGTATTTGTATGGCCCATAAATAAAATTGTTTGGAGTCTGGATTATGATTTATTTGCAATTTATGTTTATAAAACGCCTCCACGATACAAGAGAAAATCCTAGTGGAAATAACGTTTACAAAAAGGAAAAATACATTTTTCTCTATTTGGTTTGTATTTACGGAAGTGAGCTCAAACTATTTAATTAAAAAATATTTTGAATTGAACTAACGCGACGAGTTGGCCGTTGTTGTGGAACTGTGGCTAGTTGTGGATGTTGTACCAGTTGGCACCCACTGAGAAGCTTTACACGCCACGCACGCGGTCCCACGGGCAATCTGTCCACGTTCCGTTACGTCCGGTGCTGGCGTTGTACGCTTCTTACCCTGTAATATTAAAACTTATAAAATATTATTGCACTAAAATGTTAAAGTAAGATATATAGCGTTAACAAAGCGCAGCTGAGCAAGTACTAAGACCTACTAAATTTGTAAATGTTTTGATTAAATTTGTAAATGTGGTTCAATTTGTTTAAAAAAAAAAAACTTAAACACAAGCATTAATCATGTGCTGTGATGATTCTAGTGAGAACGCTACGTCATATTAATGAAATTATCGTATTGTTATCCTTTTTAATACGTCTACAAATTTTCAGATTAATAAAACATATGAAAATGAGTGAAACTGAATTAAAAAATTCCATAACATTCTTTCATTATACATACAAAAAGATGTAAGTGCCTTAAGCGATCGTTCATGAATGTTTTCGAAAAATTCAAATTGAAAGTAAGTCTTAATTAAATCGCGATTTTTTAAATCATTGAATTTTTGACTTATTTGAGTTAAAAAGTAATTTTGATGTATGGATTCGGTTTCCGAAAATTCCTACTTTAAATATTTAAATACCTACAGTTCCTGGGGTTGAGCTGCATTGATTATTTCTTTCGTGTTTGATGAAATATATTAAAAATATATTCGCAACTATAGAGGTATTCATTTATATTATGTATCTTTTATATCGTTTAATATTACTTTTATACACTACATAATTTTTTAAGGTTATCTGAAAATTGGCAAGTGCATTTTTCACTTTGTAACAGCGAATAACCCTATAAAGTTTTTGTTATATTCTGAGCAGCCAATAAAATGAAATTTTGTACGCTTTTAGGTACTTATATATATAATTTATTTAAGAAAAAGCCCGTGCCTGTCTTATTGGTCTAGTAGTCGTAAATGCGACTGTTAATCAAGAGGTCCCGAGGTCTAATTTCGGGTCGGATCAAAATCAGTCATTGAGTTTTTTTTTTGTCAAGAAGTTCTCAGTACTAGCCCGGAATCAGGAAGGAACTTGTAGTGTAGCCGTGCTTGGGTACACACACTTGCAATTAAATCCTGTTCTGCGCAGATGGCCAGTTTCCGTTGAGAACCGGAGACCCTTTTTACTGGACACGAGACATTCCATCTTAGTCCTCAGGAGTGACCACACGTCTGCATTTTGATTCTTAATTGAGTATTAATGAAGATGTCTATGGACCACAGTATCCGCTATCACAGTATCAACGAGCGCACATTCCACATGATTGTAATCAGGTGCGCTCGTTTGTCATCCTTATTCTATAAAAAAGTTGTAAAATAAAAACAATTTTCTATAAAATTTTGTAGACATTACCACAATGTATTCAATAGTATGCATTGCATTGTTTAGACTAAAATTATACTAATTTTATTATTTAAAATTTTATTATTTAAAATTATACTAATTTTATTATTTAAAATTATACTAATTTTATACCTGAGTCATTAGTAGTCTAATGCTTTACGGTATACGATTACATTTTAGTGTCAAAAATATTGCGCTCAGATTTATTATTTAATATTTATAAAAAATTCAAAAATTATTTATCAATGGGAAGAGTTGCCCGGGCTCGGTAACATCAATGGGTATTCCTCAGGACTCTATTCTTGACCCATTCCTGTTGTTAAACTATATTAATGACTTAGTTTATTTTGTAGGGGACAATCACAATATACTATAATTTGCTGATGATACTTCTTTAATTTCAAAATCAAACGGCTATCAATTAATTACGAACATATAAATAATCCTCTGAGGAAATTAGGACATTGGTTTAACGGTAGCAATTTGCTTTTAAACGGCAGCAAAACGAAATATGTATAAAATTTACAATCCCTTACGTTAAACATTCAAATAAAATGTGCTCTTATATGGGGTCGAGTTGAGTCTTGTGGGTACCACTGTTTTTCTTGGAATTATTATTTATGTGAAGCTCCTAAAGGATGGTTCGGCAGCATATGTTGTCAGAAAGATTAGACGTCTCACCAGTGTTGAAACGGATTAATTTATTTTAGTTACTTTTATAGCGTAATTTCACATGGAATTATGCTATGGGGTGATGCGACTCAAAAGAGGGCTGTAGGGGCAATTTATAACTTAAATTGTTAACATTCACTTCAGAAAAAATAAAAAAAATAAATAAACACAATGTTAACTTTACATATATAAAACTTGAATAGCTTTGATAAGAACAAAGATATTCATAGTTTAAATACTAGGAACAACCACAAGCTTTTTATACCAGTTACAAGACTCCACAGAATTTGTAACTCATTTATGGGGTAATATACTCTTTTCCAACATAATCACAGAAAATTTTCAAAGTTTGTCAATCAAAAGTTAAAAAAAAAATCAAAAATATCTATACAAAAAGGGTTATTATAATATTAAGTTTAGGGTTTTTTTTTTGCTGGTTCTTATCAGAACAGAGCTATCAGAGCAGAACAGAGGTACGTAAAAATCTATATTGAATAAAAATTATTCTATTCTATTCTTTTGCATCTGAACGAAAAACTTACCATTTTTTGAAGGTGCCTTTCGATCATTGCCGTAAAAACATAAATTACTCCTAGCACAAGCATTTTGAAAAATTTACAGGATAATTACATAAGTAATATTAAGAGTATCGCTATTATTTATTTTTTAATCATTTTTCTGCAACATTTTATTAATCTACAACTGTCAGATGATATTTTCCGGGATTTTTAGGTTTCATTATTCTAAAATTTCATCAAAAGCATATTATATAATATTTAATACAAAAATGGCGTTCGTCTTTATTGTACATGTACTTGAGAGATTTATATTTTTACAGTGAAAATAACCTCTTTTATATCTTTTTTTTTATAGTATAAGGGTGACAAACGAGCACACAGTCCACTTGATGGTAAGTGGTTGCTGTGGCCAATACATCTATATCTATCCTCGTTTGCGAATCAAAATACATATGAGTGAGTGAGTGAACCGTGAGGACAAAGATGGAATGTCTCTTTTTCAGTAAATAGGGTCTCTGGTTCTCTACACTCACCATACGAAACAGCAGCATTAAGCTGCTGTTTTGCGCTGGTATTCTGTGAGAGCGTGGTCCTTCCCCGGTCTAGCCGATCCATTCGTGCTACAACTATAACATAATATTAATATAGCTGCAACATGGCTGTACCACATATAAATATCTTTCTAATTATTTAAGTATTCTTAATTTTATTTAAGTTGATTTTAATATTCTTTGACCAGTGTTTGATTCTTTTTGGAAACTGAAAATTATGTGGCTTTCTAAATTAATGCACATTTTCTTTACTTCGCAGTTTAACTCTGTTCAGTTTTTACGTGTATTATGTATGCTGTGAACATAACAATTACGAATATAATGTGTAGTTTTTAGTTTTAAATGATATTATAAAACTTAATTATAGTGTCAAAATTGTACCGACGACGGTAGGTACAGTCTCAAAATTGTACCGAAGGTAGGCTGTTTAAAGGTAAAAGGGGATTAAATATACATATTATACGATGCCATAGTAAAAGTATTTCGGCTTCACAGCCTATTGTAGAAATTAATAACTCTATTAGTAATTTCTCTAATGACACAAATTTTTCCCTTTTTTTTCGGAGCAAATTTACAATTATTATCGAAATGTACCAGTGGTTAAAAGAATCCCTAGAGGTGCGAGGATGCAGCTCGCTACAGCATTGTCATTTACTATTTTTTTTAATACTGATCAAAATTTTTTACTTTACTAATAGTGAAAAGAGTTGGAAAAAATTATTTACTTTCACGTATATATTCCCATTTTAATTTTGATAAAACAATAAATAAATCAATAACGCCTCAACTAAAAGAGGCATATTTTCAAAATTTAGATTACCCAATTAATATTCATTTATTTCGACCTCGTCCTAAATGTGATTTAAAAAAAGTAGTTGAATCGAAAATAATGGATGGCGTCTTAAAAATGCATCCCGTATTTTATTCTTAGACAACATCCTGTATCCTCGTAATGTCAAAACTCTTGAAGGCCTTCGTCAGAAGCATCCTTTGGTCAATCCTTCTTAAAGTTTACCGCTGCCTCCCAAAACTTCTATGCAACCTTTACAAATATCTGAAAAAGACACCTTAGAAGCAATTATGTCATTTTCGAATGGCTCTGATGGTGGAATTGATGGAATTACGTCTCAATGTCTTAAAGATCTTGTAAGTGCTTCTGACGGTGATGCCAGCGGAGTACTTCTTAACAACATTACAAAATTATGCGATTTTATGCTTTCTGGTAATGTTAATCCTAATTTCTTTCCATTCTTATATGGGGCAAGATTATGTGCCTTTAAAAAAGGCATAACGGTATACGTCCACATTTCGACGCTTAACTTCAAAGTTAGCTTGCAGGCACATAATCTCCAACCTCAAGACAAAATTTCAGCCTACTCAACTAGCCTTTGACACTAGAGGTGGCTGTGAGGCGGTGGTACATTCAGTGCGTACATTTTTAACAAACTCTTATGCAGACTTTCTTGTGAAAATTGACCTAAGGAATGCTTTTAACTATGCGATGCGGTAACCCTGCTGAAAGAAAGAGCTAATAATACCCTCGAAATTTATCATTACGTTTGGCAATGTTACAGTCAAAATACTAACTTGTTTTGTGAAAACCAGTTATCGATTCTACTGTCGGTGTTCAGCGGGTGGCTCACTAGATCACCCGCTGCATTATTTTAAATTTGAAATCCAAGCTGAATGTCTCGTACCTGGACGACGTTACACTGGGAGGTAGAGCAGATGACGTCTTCAGTGATCTTACTAATATTATTTTTCTAAATTTTAAAAATATTGGTCTTGAAACAAATAGAGATGAAATGTGGAGTATTTTTTTCCAATAATTTATTTAGACACACGGACTAACAGAGACACTTTAATTCAAAATTTCAATCATGTTTCTCCAGGAATTAAAACTGTCAGTACAGAATCGCAATATAGCAGATATAGGTGCCCCCTTGTTTTGCTTTTTCATAGTATTAAACCTGTTTTAAAAACAAAATTTGATCAGTTTTTAAACCATGTTGGTAAATTGTATAACTTAAAAGCCCACATTGCTCTTACTATTTTAAAATGTTGTCTCCTTGTGTCTATATTTACATACTTACTCCGCTCGAGTTCAGTCTTAAAATAGTTATAGAAAAAAATCTAAATTTAACTTTAAATACAACAGCCTGGACTCAAGCTACTTTACCTATAAAATTTGGTAGTATTGGTGTGCGAAATATTTCTAGCGTTGCATTGTCTGCTTTCCTTGCTTCCGTGCATAGTGCCAGTGACTTATGTAACATAATTTTAAATAATATAGTAGACCTGTGCTTTGCTACGAAGGTAGGGCAAACAGCGCGACGAGTTTGGGCTCCATGGACTTTCATGTATGAAAAGTGCTGGTAGGTTTTCAGGGCACGGTTCTTTGAACGATGTCATTCGAAGAGCTCTTGTTTCTATAAACCTTGTGGAATATTTAGAGACGATGGCACGGGACCCGACGGTATGACATTGGTTTAGAAGAAAGGTAAAGCCCTAGTGTGGTATACTACTTGCGTAGACAATTTGGCGGCCTCTTATCTCAGGGGTACCTCGTTTATAGCCGGGGCGGCATCAGAAACAGCTGAAATGAGTAAGTGGCGGAAATATGAGACTGTGAGAGATGACTACATATTTGTGCCATTTGATGTAGAAACTATCGGTCCGTGGGGTTCATGAGCGTTGAAGTTCCTAAAGGAACTCTATCCACTACTGGTCTTTGCTACTGGTGATAAGAGAGCTGGTTCTTTTCTAAAGTTAAGTATAGCCATTCAGCAGGGAAACGAAGCCAGCGTTCTTGGCACGATACCACGGGGAATAGGACTGTATGATAATTAAGTTATTATTTTTAGTTTATTTACTATAGTTTTTTAATGTTATGATAAGAATAAAGTTTTAAATTAAAATCAATACAAGTCTTGTCGGTTTCCAAATAGACAAGGCCGCAAACTTCTTTCTAAATATGATAACTATACTATACAGTGTAGTTATTAACTTTAATAGTTTAATGTAAGCCATTAAATTTATATATTTCTATTTAAATTTTTGTAGAAATGTCGTGGTATTTTGATTTATTAATGGTTTATCAATAGTTGTTACATTGGTTTAATTTTTAGAAACAGGCAGAATAATATTCACAGGGAAAATAATTCAATACTTTTTAAAACAGGAATATAATTAACAATATTTCTTTTAGTTACCCGGTGATTTAAATTGTATGCCCATGCTAGTGGAACCACTATAATTCTTATAAAGCCTGCTCAAACGCGCTACACGAGATATTCAACTCAGAACGGTGCTTTGTAGGGGAGGGGAAAAAGACGTTAGCCTCTTTTATATATTTGCCTAACAGTTTTTTTGCGGAAAAGAATATCCCAGAATGAACATTGTTTTGTAGGAATGATACTACACTATAATCAAAAGAAAACACACCTACCATAACATTTTATATAGTAGAGCCATGCTGCAGCTATATTATGGTTGAAGCACCAATGGGTCGGTTCGACCGGGGTAGGACCACGCTCTCACAGAATACAAGCGTAAAATAGCAGCTTAATGCTGCTGTGTTTTGTATTGTGAGTTTAGAGAACTGGATACCCTTTTTACTGAAAACGGGACATTCAATCTTAGTTCTCAGAGGTGGCAACGCATCTACATTTTGATTCTTAATCGAGGAGAGATGTAGATGTCTATTGACCACAGTATCCACTTACCATCAGGTGGAGGTTGTGAGCCTATTTATCACTTTCATTCTAAAAAAAATATATGTAAATATTGCATGAGTTATTAATACTTACATGATGTGTATCATAAAATATTGAAGGAACTTTATTTTCGCGTGTATTGCATGTGCATTGTGCGTGGACTGATCGCGGAGCATTCTTAAAAGACCTTTCAGAGTTGATGAACGATTGACCATCGTCATCTATTATATCATTACTAGTATTTCTCTCAAATACGTTATCATCCCGAGACCACGGCTCTATTCCACCTCTGTCTCTGTACCGTTCACTGGAAAAATCATTGTATGACAGTTGTCTTTTTATACTTCTACAGCTTCTACGATTATCAAGAGTAGAAAACTTCTTAATCTGTCGAATGGGAGAGTGTCGAGATATTATGTCGTCGTTTATATCGTAATTCTTTAATTTCATAGCTTTATGTGCTCCACTGCTAGAGTCGGCATTATCCGTGTAATCTCTCAACCTATCGAAACATTGATCAACATTAGAAGAAAAATTTGCGTAGGTCGTCATATTATTTTTCAAATCATCTTGTGATTGCATGCTCGAAGTCGGAAATGTGCCGTTTTGATTGTTAACTTTTCTTTGTGATTTCTCTACAAGTGACAGCATTGATAGTTTCTTGAGGGAGCTCGTTGATGCCGATGTTATCTCTGCTAGTTGGACCGCATTTTGATGTTTTTTTGATATCGCTTCACCGCCTATTTTTTTTAAATTGGTTAATTTCCTTTTTATTTTCTGGACTAAAGTATTGGTTGGTTCGTAAGATATGAATTGTTTTGAAATGTAGCTCGATACACCTATCGTCTTAGGTTTATTTTTTCGGTCTAGACTTCGATGTGATCCACTTGCAAAGTGGTTTCTTCCCGTTTCTCGTTTCATTCGTTCCAAGTCATAGATATTTAGTGTGTGGCCCCTCTGTTTCACAATATCACGGTGGCAATTTAAATAATTGTTTTGCTGTATGTTACAATTACAAACCAAATTAAAATCGTTTTCTGGAACTTGCTTGGTAAAACACTGTCGTTGAGCTGCTAGAGCGAGACAAGCTTCACATTCCACACCAAGAAGAAGTTCAAGACTGGTGTTTCGTATGAATCCATCGCTAAAAGTACGTGAACGGAAATGTGTAGCTTGGTGACCTAGTTGTGATTCCCAGTTCGGCACTCCGCCAGTATCTTCTGCGGTGGCAGTACCTCCTGCGACATTAGTTTCGTCATCCATCATGGTTGCCACATCACGGTTTACCTGAATAACACGAGGTTGCCGGAAAACTCGACTGTCGCTCCGAATGGAACATCGAGATGGTGACGGAGATGGGCGTTTGAAGTTGTCCACTTGAATCATCTTTCTGTTTAGTAATAGCTAAAAATATAAATTATATTAAAATAGTATTTAAATAATATTTTTCTTATAAATAGTAAAAAATATTGCGAGTTTTGACCCAGACTAACTAATAGAATAATAAGACGAACATTCGGACTTTTATAATTACTTAACCATATTCTTGAATTAATTTACTTCATTAATTACAATTGTCTTTCTCGTCTTCGAAAAGAAATGGCGAATACAGGGAAGCTTTCATTTACTTTTCAAAATACTTCTTTAAACTAATTCAACCCTGTATTATTTCTGTGACGGCTTTATTCAACAAATTTTGCTACTTATTATGATCCTTCAATCTCACATGGTCACTCTCTATGAAATAAAAAAGTTGCAATCGAAAAATTATTAAATCAATTTTTTTAAAACCCCTAACTAAAAGAAATAAATAGAGTTGTTGCTCAGGAAGAGTCGTGGTAGTTCAGGGGCTTAGCACTCGCTGGAAATTTGAGAGTACGCGAGCACTTTGACTTTTTGTTAATTGCAATTTTAAGTGCTGATTTACCACATGCTCGACGGTGAAGGAAACATCGTGAGGAAACCTGCAAGTCTGAGAAATTCAAAAATATATTTCGAAGACACGTGAAGTCCGATAACACGCATTGGGGCAGCGCGGCGGGCACTTCCTTTCTAAAACCCGCTCAGAAATGAGAGGAGGCCTGTGTCCAGCAGTAGAACGTATATAAGCTGTAGCGTTAAAAGGAAGTAACTCACGAAAGCAAAAAAATAAAATAAAAAGAGTTTTAAAAAGGTTGGATTTGTCGCGACGTCTGTCATAAAAACAACTTTGCATACACAAACAAAAATACAAACAAAACAATTGTGCGTGTCAGCTCCGACGCGTGACTGGAGCTTACTCCTGAAAAACGATTGTCTTAAAATATATACAATAGACAAAGGAAGTAAATATTTATTTATATTGATTTGATAAAATATATTACATAAACTAGATTTTAACCCGCGGCTTCGCTCGTGTGAGCATGAATTAGGAACATCATTAAATGGCTGTTCCGTGCCAAATTTAACAAAATTAGATTAGTTTAGAGTCCCCTCGGTGTTTGTGTCTTAATGTCTGTCGAAGATATGTATGAATTCTAAAAGACTATTAGACGTAGGTGATTGGTATTTGATATAGATATAACATGCTACAGGAACACGTGAATATATATGTTTTTTTTTGTTTTATAGGATAGGATGACAAACGAGCACACAGTCCACCTGATGGTAGTGGTTACTGTGCCCCATAGACATCTCCATTTATTCTTAATAAAAAATCAAAATGCAGATGCATCGTCACCCGTGAGGACTAAGGTGGAATGCCTCTTTTCCAGTAAAATGGGTCTCCCGTTCTCTACACTCACCATACGAAACACACCAGTGTCAAGCTGCCATTTTACGCTGGTATTCTATGAAAGCGTGGTCTTACCCCGGTCGAGCCGACCCATTCGTGCTACAACTATACTCCTAATATAGCTGCAGCGTGGCTCTACCACGTAAAGAATGTCTAGAAACATCTACTATTTTTATATCGCGCGTGTCTTCCGTGTAAATGTATCCATAAGAAAGGTAAATTTTCTTGGAATCAAAATTTATTATTATTATTTAAATTTTACTCTTTACATTAATTCATAATTAATGTTAATTTAGTTTTAACAAAATAATGACGAATTTCATAATCTCCTATTAATTTACAGGAAGAGTAAAGTATGTCAACATGTTTAGTGTCGTCCCAACCATTATATCAGATCTGATAGATAACAAATCCTTACAATAAATCATCGAAGATGGCTAAGTGCTGCCATCTGCTAAGGACTCCATAATTAATAAAATAATATTCAAATCCAAACACACTACTGCATTTATTCTATTCTATATTACTCGTATTCTTATTCTATTCTATTCTAACTATGACATCAGATCGTCAAACACCCCAGTCCTACCGTGACCATGGGTGCTGTAAAGTGCTCAAAACATCGGGAATTGAAAAGGTTAAGATTATACGCGATGAAATCCTTAAAATTAGTTTTATTTCTTATAAATTCACTTCACTCATGAACGGGAGTAGAAAAATGTTCACCTTGTTGTGGCGTTGAAACAGAATCGGCCACCTAATATCGTTCCGTCGTAAGAGGTAAACATAGGAAAACCAAGCAGGAGGTGGGATGGGCTGTATCATCTTCTTGACAACAGATCAAAATAATAATAGCTGAGGCTGCCAACACCCCTACCAAGCGTGGAAACTATAGCAAATACCCAGCTACTTGAAAATGTATGGGGGAAGCCTATGTTCATTTCAGTGAAATTTTGATAGGCTGACGATAATGAGTTCCACTCATCTTTGCAACCCTTAATATTTATGGTAGGGTGAAAACAAAAAAGTAACATATCCGAAAACATGAATGAGATAAAAACTGCATATATTGCCCCATGAAAAGTAAAAAAGTAACAGCTTACAACATGTTACTACTGGGCACAGGCCGTAAAGAGTTTTTGGCCAAAAAAGTATTCGCTGCGCTGATTCCAACGCGGGATGACCTCTACTGGGAAACTTCTCAGATATGGAGGTTTAGAAGGTGGTAAATTGACACTTGAAATTGCAATTAAAATGTATGCTAAAATTTATAATAATACTTACGTAGCATGAAATTAAAGTTTTAATCAGTTTGATTACTTTGACAAGTAAAATAAAATAAACCTTTATTTCATTCTTTCCGTAAGAGCCTGTTCATTTACATATACTCATATAATCTATGCAACCAGGACTATCACTATTATCTTAATATGTCTGAAAATATGAAAGTTTGTTTAAATACAATTCATAAAAACTGAAACTAAGCTTTTGCATTATTGTTGACCACATCTACCTAGTAATTACACATCCAAAGATGCCACGAACAAATTTTAATTATTTACATCGTATATTCAGTAGCATTCTATTATTTAATATTTATCAGTGACTTATAATTTTAGTTCATTTCGAAGTATGTAGATAGCGCTATTATGAATGTATGAAGATGAAACAATGAAAGTGTAAGCTATACTATCTAGTAATATCAACGACAGAAGCGAAAATTAATTATTTTTTATATCAATAAGGCATAAAGTGATTTCAATTCTGTTAAAAGTTCTGTTTCTGTTAAAAAAAAAATACGCTATCAGCGCCGCTAGCGGTAAAAAACAATTTAATGATATCGTCATATGACTATATCATGAAGTAGCAACGTTGTGTTTAGTTATTAATATCTTCAAACGATTTCTATTCAATTATTTGGTCAAGCTATATCATGACATGGTCAACAAACAGTGTTAAATATCATGAAATGACCAAACCATTTCAAGAAATGATATAATTCGAGTACTTTATGATATATGATCAATTCTACGATCTGGACACGACATATATATAAAATACTCTTTAATTAAACTATAATGATAATGAATATTTTGCAATAATTGCAGCAAAAGTAATTGAAACAAAAACCTTATCAATTTTCATATATTTGATAGATGTTACTATTATCTATTGAAATTATTACACTTTTAAAATATATAAAATAAAAAATATACTGAAAAACTAAACTTTAAAATTTTTAAAAATGTAATTGCTTAAACCTACCTATTATATTATTATACCATACATTTATTATATGTGTGGATTATATTATATAAAAGTTATTAATACAAAAAAATATTAAATTATTATATACACTATTAAAATATATATAAAAAAAAACTAAAACTAGTAACTTATTATCATACAGTTCGTGGCGTCCACGTGCGGTGAGGTTCCTATAGGAACTGTATCCGCAACTGGTCGTTGCTGCTGATGATAAGAGAGCTGGTTCTTTTCTCGCTCAAAGGATACGTATACCTAGCCATTCAGCGGCGTAACGCAACCAGCGTTCTTGTCACGATACCGCGGGAGTAGGACTGTATGATAATTAAGTTAGTAGTTTTTATATAAAAATATATGATTTATATTGCATTATTCGTTTCGCGCTTAGAGATGCGCGAGTATGTTGCACAGAAGAACCCCATAACGGCTTCACTTTTTGTTAACGCTTGATTTTACTACCTATCTATTTTTCATACCGTGCGCATTGTATGAAACGATCCGAATAAACTCCAAATACCTCTCACCCTAAGCGCGTACACGTTCTCCGTTCCGTCGTGGGTAATAAAAGAAAATACGAAGTAGTGTGAGTAGAACTCTTTTCCACTCGTTCGATTAGTTAATAGAACGATTCTGCAGGAATAGCTCAATCTGTAAACGTGAACTAGACATCTGTTCTTAAAATACTCTAGACTTTCATATTATCGCAGAAATAATTCAGACTATAGCATTCGCCCAGTTAAATTCCGTGTCCTGTTAATTTCTTATGTTTCTTGTTCCTGGTGTATTCCTTCCTTTGTAAATATTTTGTGTGATCTTATTCGTACAAATATTTGTTTACATTCATTACAGCCCATCGAAATTTTCCAATGAAGCATAGGCCTCTCACATAGTAATGGTGGCTTAAGGGAATCCACTGCCCCATTTCGTTCTATGGCTACCGTAAGAGACTACAGAGGTAAAAGAAACAGGAGAGGAGCAGCAACATCTTCCTGATAACAACTCAAAATAATATAAACACTGCGATTGACAACCCGCCTGCCAAACGTGGTAACTGTGGCATGTGTATAATCTCTATGAAACAGTATACAGGTAGGCCTACGTACTAATAATATGACGTTATAAAAGTATTAATTACTTGTTTCTGATAGCAGAATTATATTTAGAGAAGCCATAAATTAAAAGAAGAAGACGAAGAACGATTTTCACTACTAGTACGAATTGGTCACTCTACAATTGTATATGATGATATATCGGTGTTGTTACTCTGACGGTCGCGTAATATGTTTAACGTGTGTATATGTATGTCTGTATGTGGCATCGTAGCTCCCAAACGGAGTAACCGATAATA